GGAGCATATGTGCTTACAGAGTAAATGAGGCTTGTCCATGCTCACACAGGGTGACAATGTCAAAATCATTACTCATGTCTCATGTCCTTTCTCTGTCTGTGAAAAAAATGAGTCTTTGCACAGTGTCTGAGATAAGTCTTGATGACTTAAATGTAGGACATTTTAGTCAAAGGCAAATGTGCGTTTGTATATACTGCGGTGTTACTGAGGCCAGATCCAAAGAATGGGGCAGCATTGGGTCCCAGCTCCTCTTGAAACACAGAGCACCTAAAACAAGGATGTTGAATCCTCACCAAAAATTCGGTTCAACGAGAAAGCACAATGATATTTTCTAAGACTAGAAAGGAAATGTCTATCAAAGTATATTGAATTTTTTTAAGTTTCAGAGTTATTTATCGAGTTTTATATAATTTATATAAGGGGAACCTGTGCCTCAATAGATCATAGATGAGATAATCTAGAATGAGGATTCCCAAATTTCTTTGTTTTATCTCTAAGTTGCATGGGCTTTAATCATGTAAAATGGACTCATAGTTTCCTGCTTCGGAGCCACATAGGTCAGAATACAAATCATAGCTCCCTTCCTGGCCTGTCTGTTCCCACACCATGGAGAGACTCTCCAGGTAGTTCTCCTCCCTCATCTTTCCTATGTTCAGTCTGTCTGTATTCTTGGACAAGCACATGCTGTGTTTTATAAGACCCTGCCAGCTAGGAGTTTCCTGCAACCTTCCACCCCCTGAGGGAACAAGTCACATGCTGAAGGTTTTAAGCTGTGCCATGGGCTTCTCTACTGATATAACCTCATCCCACACAATCCACATCCTCAAGTCCCTGCTTTTGAAGTGAATCTTTAAACCTACACAAATTTATTAGCATGTCACATTTGAAAGCTAGCTGTGAACACCCACTGGCACAATTTCAGATTTTACCTCTACCCAACAAATGTCAGAGCACCTGAAGATTCACTACCAGAAAATGCAGCACAGTTCACACCAGTGGAATGGTATGCAAGCAAAACCCACCACAGGATCATGGTTAGGTAAAGCTCACGCTTGCCAAGGGAAGCACCATTTCCTTCATGCTGAAACCTAAGACTTCCATAGTGTCTGGAGGGAAAGACCTTGGGGACATGGATGCCACCTCATAGGCCATGGGGCCTCTCCTGTTATTCCTCAGCTGAGGTTTTCCCTATGGAATATCCCCTGTGTCTCATGGCAGTCAGCATTGAATGTGGGTGTGTGTTCTAGTCTATAGAGCAGGCTCTGGTTTATGGGGATGCTGCAAACTCCAACATGCAGATGTCGTACACAAACCCCATCAAGGCTGGAAAGAACTAGACCCAGCTCAGGCCAGATCCTTGACCTCAGACTCATTTCTTCTTCTTTCATTGGTTATCTTTGCCAAAATTTCCCTCCTCCTCATGTTAGATTTGGTACATCCAGGTGTATGTACTCAACCAGATACACAGGACTAGGAGGAGACATAGATTCCTTATAGGGAACTTTGCTCCAGCATGTTTGATTGTGGGGGTGACTGAGCTTTGAGTCGGCCTTAGTTGAATGCTGGGCACTGAGGTCCACAGGGTGCAGTCAGGAAGGAAGAAAATGATCAGGCTGATCATTGTCCATGAGGACAATGAAACCTGCATCTGTTCCTGATGACAAGGGTATCATGTGGAAGCCGGCCCTCAGTCAAGGACCAAAAAATGCTCACTAAGTCTGTGGTGTCTGTTTGCCCTATCCAGATGAGTCTGCAGAGAAGTGACAGGTGAAGATGCTGTCTCCCCCAACTCAATATCTCAAAAACACTCATGTAATACCCCAACTAGAAAACTACAGAAAGGGAATCAGGTAAATGTAATTCACCTCTGAGAAGATGACACATTACAAAGTCATTTCTGCTTTACTATTAGTGTCCATTTTGGCTAACAGTCTATTACAAAAATAATAATAATAAACCCTTTGCTATTGAGTCAATCCTGACTCATAGTGACCCTATAGGACAGGGTAGAACGGACCCATAGGATTTCCAAGGCTCTAATCTTTATGGAAGCAGACTGCCATGTCTTTCTCCCACAGAGCAGCTGGTGGGTTCAAACCCTCAGTCTTTTACTTAGCAACCAAATGCTTAACTACTGTGCTACCAGGGCTCGTTGATGGTCTATTAGCACCTGTGAATGTTTAACTAAGCCTCACATCCACTCTGTTTGAGGTGCCTACAGAGTCTTTTTGACCATTCACACACAGGCATGAAGACTCTGGGATCCCCAAGCTGCAGGACCCCTATCTGAGCAGTATGGTATGGGGCTTCATGTCTGTCCTTGGCCAGCAGCCAAGGGTCACACCCTTGGTGATGTGTGCAGTGTTTCCAGGCATGCAAGGGTGGTATCCAAGGTCCTGGACTTCTCTGGCCTCTGCACTTAGCTCCAGCAAACTCCAGGAACAAGCCCAGATGTGTGGTGGCTGCAAAGCCAAGAACCATGCATATTATTTTCCCTGAAGAATAAAAACATTTTCATTCAATCCAATATCCAGTCTTAGTGACACAAAAAATGAACCTGTGTCACAGTGGTTACAGCACTCGACTACTAACCTAAAGATCAGGGTTTTGGACCCACCAGCCACTCCAGAAGTGGTGAAACCCATATGAAATTGTGCACTACAGATTACTAAATAAACACAATTAAACACAATTAACTTGCTTACTTTAAGCCAGTGCACACCGTGCTTACTGATTAATCTGCCCATGTGGGAAATATCTGAGTTAAGAAAAGTAAAATTATAGGACAAGCCTGAATCATAATTAGACCTTTAAGGAATGGATTAAATATTAAAAGTTTGGTCTTACTCTTTAATGACTTGTGGTTACAGGTGGATGCCCAGTGGATAACTGGGGCTCCTTCCAGCAGTTCCTGCTATTCAGCTTCTACAGAGGGATTCTAAAGGGTAAGATTAGCACTAGATATGATCCTGGACTTTAGTGGGCACATGGAGGATTCTGAGAGACCACACCAGGGCAGTATAGTCATTGGGCCACAGGGACATGACTTTTGGTCTAGGTTTCTTCTTAGTTCCTCCACTTCTCCATTTCTCAATGTAGGGGTAAGGAAATACAAGAGATTATGCTATTCCACTGGCTCTGCTTTCCACGTCCACTCTCTTCACACACTCTCCTTGGTTTCTCCGCTCATGCTTCACTGTGTCCCATCTCCATGGAGTTCACTTGGACACCTACCACCTGACGACATGGCTTTGTTTCCAAGACAGATTCACTTCTACTTGACCATTGGGCAGCATCTGAGGATCATTCTCTTTAAAATGGACCACAGACTCTACTCTAGGAAAAAGGAAGAAAAGGAAAAGGAATGATGTGACCACTGGCCCCCATTGCAGCCTCACAGAAATCCTAAGAACCCATAGTGCCCAATGGTACCCTCCAGCCACCATCCACTGTAGGCTAGTCATCATTCATCAGACCCTCCACATTAGGGGCCTTGATTACCTGCTGAGTCCACTGTTTACCCCTCATCATCACTCACCCAACAAGTGTATGATGAGCACTAACATGGTCCTCACACTCCTCTAAGCACTAAGCAAAGAATGTAAATAAAGATTCTCTCCCTAATAAGGTTATATTAATGTGCGATGAGATATAGAAGATAAAGCCAATGATATGACAATATAAAAATGATGTTAAATACCAAAACAAAACAGAAAGCAAGAAAGGGAGATAGAGATTGTACAAAGTGGAGTTGGGTTGGGAACTTTAATGGAATTTTATCATCTATCATTCATTTTCACTCCCATAGACTACTACAATATACCAAGCCTTACAGTTTGAAAGTCTGAGTCTGATAATTGCAGTATATGGAGCCCCAGGAGTTCTAAAAATGCTCTGTGCTTATTTTCATTCATTTTGTCTTGTGCTTAATTCCTTTCAATGCATACAGGATGTTGTAATTAAATATTCATTTCAGTAATCAGAATAAACTTGTGATGTTATCTTATTTAGATATGACATTGGCTTTTTTTTTTTTTTTTTTGACACCAGGACCCATAGAAACCTTAGCAGTGAGGGGTCGTTGGAATGTAGCAGGTTATGTACTGAGCATTCCTCCTCCATCGGTTATTTTGGACAATTGCTACTTACTACTACTGGCGGTTTGTTGTCAAATGTAGACATATCAGAGAACAGCCCAAAGCCCAGTCTGTGAGCAGAGCTGAAAATAGTATGGCCTCATAGTCCTGGGGTTCACTCCAAATGGCCTTCTCTTTGCCATGGCACAGTCTAGGAGATGCCCTCCTCAGAGTGCCACTTCACTCCATGGTTCTGAGATTGACAGCCAGGTCTGAGGGTCTCCTGGGGAATGAGGGCAGAAGGAATAGTACTCAGGGCTTAGTTCAAATGGAGTAAGAGAGTGAGTGATAATAAAACCATGCCCCTTTTCATTTACTCTGAATTCACTAGACTGTAAAAACTGAAGCTGTCATTGTTGTTTCATGTGTTTGATATATTTTATGATTTATGTTTTAACCCATAAGAGTACCAAGAACATTCAGTATGTGTCTCAAGTATTTTTTATTCAGAACAATTGAAGCATGAGATTTTGGTAAAGCTCTTTTCTTTGTTTCGTTCTGCTTCCTCCCATTATGTAAAAATAAACAAACAAAAACATAGCTTTTAATCCTTATTCAGTACCACCCATGATGAGAATGTACTTAAGTCATTTTTCCATATTAACATATTTTCCAAAGCCATTCACTGTTTTAAATAAAATAAGTGATAAAGAATAAGCCTATGTGCATTTTCATTTACTCTAAACCCATTACACTGCAAGAAATTCAACTGTCTTCATCTCTGCACGTTTCTGAATCTTTAATGATCTATATTTTGTTTGATTGTGTGTTTTGATAGTTACAGAAAAAAAAAACATATTATCCAGCCTTCTTTATCCCTGATCCTCCTGCAATAACTCAGTTTACTAAAATGACTTCCAACTTACCTTCCAAGGAGAGCTCATAAAGAAGAAACATGTGCAGGCCCGTGGGAAAAACACCCCAGAGTTTATTCACTGAGCATCTCCTTTTCCTTGTGGGTTTCCTCCACTACTCAGTTGGACTAGGAGTCTTGTCCTGACCCTTCCCTATAGAAGAGCCACAGAATCAGTGACCTCCCACTGACAAGAAAGCTCCACCTTGTGCCCTGCAGCTCCACACGTGCAAATAAACCAGAATTAAAGGGAAGTCATGCTGGGGTGTGGAATGCTATCTGCCTCCTTCTTTGGGGTTATGGTCTTTGTGAAGACTATTCCCCACCCAGACACACATGGAGTCCCTGCCAGTCCTCCTCTACCTATTGGCCATTCTCCATGGTGAGTGACCTTGGAGTGACAGAAAAGGGTGATGGCGAGGCAATGCGTCAGTGTTACTCACAATTACCCAGTGTTTCCAGGTGTTGAAGTCAAGGATCACATTGTGCAATGGGGATATGGGACAGTGGTCTCCTCGCAGAAGCTCAGACTCGCTTGTGCCACCTACACACTTCCGGTTTCTGAATCTTCTATGTCGTGGATCCGCCTTCACCCAGGAAAGGGGCTGGAGTGGGTCAGTGTAATATCGGCTAACGGAAACACCAACTACAGCCCCAACCTTCAGTCTCGGGTGAGCATCTCCAGAGACACAAGAGAGAACCAAGTGTTCTTACAGCTGAGCACTGTGACTGCTGAGGACCCAGGTGTGTATTACTGCACCCAAGGCACTGTGGTCCAGGTTCACTGGGAGCCCAGACATAAACCTCCCCTGCAGGGGACAGGAGGGGCTCAGCTGCAGAGGGTGCTCAGGAAACACCAAGTAAGTTCCCAGCCACAGGGGAAGGTGTACAAGATGTTGAGGAGGGGCTTCCTGTGAGATCCGGAAATTCCTCTGCTCTCTTAGCTCTCAGCTGCCACCAGGGACACTTTGTGGCTTATTTCTTGCTGCTCTAATTCCTTATGTTCTCACTGCAGCCTTGGAAGGAGGAAGTAACACTCTCAGTTTACAGATGAGATTTTCCAGTTAACAGTGACCTTTCCTCTACCATTTTCCTATATAACATGATTTTCCTCTGGACTAACAGCAAGTCCTGAAGAATCTAGTTGCCTCTGTGACTGAAACATATTTCCCACAAAGAGAAATCCCACAGTGGTACATGTATCCTGCATACCTAACTCGTACGTTCTCCAGTCAGACAGGCTCACAGTGTCATCAGATGGTCCTCTTCCCTCAAACAGGTACACACTATACCCACATGGGTCCCTTCCTCAGACAGGTTCACCCTGTTCCCACATGGACCCCTTTTGTCTGACAGGCACATACTGTCCCCACATGGACCCCTTCCATCAAACATGTTCATACTGTCCCTATGTAGACCTCTACAGTCAGACAGGCACATACTGGCCCCACTTGGTCCCCTTCCCTCTGACAGGAACACATTGTCCCCACATGGGCTTCTTCCTTCAGATGGATACACACTGTCCCTACATGGGCTCTTTCTTTTAGGCAGGTACACACTGTCCACACATGGGCCCCATCACTCAGATAGGCTCACTCTGTCACCATGTGGGCCCTCTCCCTCAGACAGTCACACAGTGTCCCCACATGGACTCCCTCCCTTGGATAAGCTCATACTGTACCCAGTCTGGTGTAATCAGGCCTCTGTTCCACCAGGAGTCTCTGTCTAAAATTAGCACTCAGACCTAAATTAGTACAGAGGACAAAATTTACAGATTAAAATGCATTTTGGAGGGAAAAAAGAAACATCAAAACCAAATAACCCGATTCAAACTAAAGTATGATCCTCGAAACAAATTATTGCTACGTTGGTCTTAATTCAAATTATAAAGTTTTGCAATGAGAAAGACATTATTAAGAGGCTCAAAAGACAAGCTACACAATCGGAGAAAAGATTTTGTAAACACTTATAGAGGACTGACATATAAAATACTCAAAGAATTCTTAAACTTCGTTATAAGATAAAAAACACTATTCAAAAAAAGGGGCAAAAATATTAACCTCATCTAAAAAGATATACAAATAATAAATATGAATATAAAAATGCGCAACCTCATTTTCCATTAACGAATTGCAAATTAAAATATCGGTGAGATACCACTATACACCTATCAGAATGGCTACAATTAAAAGAAAATGATAATATCAATTGCTGGCAAAATTGTAAAGCAGCAAGAACCATCATTCATTGCTAGTGGAAATACAAAATGTCACAGCCAATTTGGAAGAGAATGTGGTAGTTTCTCACAACACTAATAATAGCAGTGTACAATCACATAATAAAAAATATTTTCCTTAATACTCCAACTCCTTCAGAATACTCCTATCTGTTCTCGGATATTGCCCTCTCTGAAGTCATCCAACCCCAGAGCTTGCCATATAAGAGGATGACATGCAAATAGGGCCTCTCCCTCTGCTGATGAAAACATGCCTAGCCCCAACCCAGCAGCTCTGAGAGAGGAGCCTGAGATCGAGGATTCCTAGGTGTCCCCATTCAATGATCAGTGCTAAACACAGAAGAATCACCATGGAAACTGTGCTGAGCTGGGTTTTCCTTGTAGCTATTTTAAAAAGCAATTTAATGGAGAACAAGAGATGTTGAATATGAGCAGGTAATATTGAGAGAAACAGTGCCGATGTGTGGAGGGGTTTCCTGACAAGGTCTGGGTATTATTTTTTCCAAAAAAATATTTGAAATAAGAATTTGACAAGGGCTGCTGATGTGTCTATAAATATCCTATTCTATCAGGAGTATTTATTAAGCTCACTAAGGCAATGAGAATCACATTTAAAAGGGTGTTTCTAGGGCTTATAAACATCACAATAGTGAGGAGCAGAAGGCAGATGGTTTTGTTAATATAGTGGGTCTAGAATTATGGGAGAAAAACTGATCCTAGGAATAAGACATTCAGATGTCAATCCTGGGTGACGTTGCCTGGCCTGGGTGTATAACAGCAAAGGGGTGGTCCAGAGGTGATAGTTATGTGTGCATGGATCCCATTTGATCAGAAATCAGGTAGTAAACATGAGGAATAATGGAGCCGAACTGAAAATACATACATTCTGTAAGAAATTTTATTATGCAGAGTTCAGGTTGAAACACAAATTTATTGAAAACACAGATTCCTGTGAAAGGTGTTGGAGGATGTGAGTTTATCAAGAGCCCCTTAACATTCTTATTATCAGTGGGTTGAGAAACACAGCCCTAGATCACTTATCAAAGGCTTGGTCTGAGAACGAAGAGTCTTTTTTACTGAACATCTTGGGGGCTCAAGACGACCCAGACAGTGGCTTGGAGAAATTATCTCCTGTGTTAGAAGCCCATTTCACAGCTGCCCATAGATACTGACAGACACTCATGAATGATGACAACAGTCCTGCTCTCAGAGTTATCATGGTCTGTGTTTGGTGCCTGAGGAGGCCAGGATGTAGTCAATGCACATGGTCAGAATCACACGGGCCCCAGAAATGTTCTGGGTGATCTCTAATCCACTCAAAGCTGAAGTCACAAGAAGTGTCATACGGTGGATGTTGTGCTCCTCAGTGGGAATAGTCCTGTCTGCACAGTGTTTATAAACATTGCATAATGATGGAAATGTTCAACAGGGATTAGGACCTGAACTCGCAGCATTCTAGCGTTGTGTAGACCCTGTGTCTTCTCCTTCTTACACTAGCCCAGGTCTTCATCTATAAAATATTCTGCCCCTTGAATATGCAAATGTTAAGCTTATTGAGTTAAATATCATGTCTCTGTCTCCGAGAGCATAACCCAGTAACCACACACACTCTCACCCCTTCAGAGTCCCCTGAGAACATTGCTCAATCCCATGGATTTGAGCTGGAGAACCCTATTCTTGGTGACAGATGCTACAGGTAAGTTAGTCTTCAGTCCAAGAGGTGAGGAGAGGGCTATGGCCACTCAAGGGAGAAATCATTCAGTCATGTCTCATCACCACGAGAGACAAAGTCAGATCTTGAGAATATCCCATGTCCAGCTGGTGCAGTCAGGGGCTGAGGTGAGGAAGCCTGGGGTATCAGTGAAGATCTCCTGCAAGTTTTCTGGATACACCTTTACCAGTTGTTGTATGCACTGGTTGCAACAGGCTAATGGAAAAGGGCTTGAGTACATGTGACAAACATACCCAGGCAGTGGTGGAACAAGCTATGTATAGAAGTTCCAGGACAAACTCACCATAACTAGTGACGTGTCTTTGAGCACAGCCTATATAGAGCTGAGCAGTCCAGGCCCCGAGGATATGGCTTTGTATTACTCTGCAAAAGACACAATGTGATAACCACATTATGAGCGTGTCAGAAATCCTGATGGAGAAGACAACTGTGTTCAAGTCAAGGAGATTACAGGGACAATTTGGGTGATAACTTCCTTAATTAAGTAATTGAGAAAAAAAGAACAACAGAAACATGCATTAATTCTAGATGAGGAACAATGGAAACAAACTGAGCATACATAAATATGGTACAAAATTCTATCATTTGGAGTTCAGGAATGACACACACATTTAATGAAAATACCAATTTTCCATACAACAATTATCCATAAGCAAAATTCATAGGGAGGGGAGAGGTTCAAATGAAAAAAGCGGATATAAGCATTCACATGGAGGCTTTTGTTTGAATTTAAGTTTTCAAGTCAGTTGGGTATATATCTTGGAACATAATTGCTAATTACATAGTAACACTACATTTAATGCCATAGGAAATCGTCACACTGTCTTCCAAAGTGTCTGCATCATTTTGCATTCCCTCAGCAATGAATAAGAATTCCAGGTGCTCCAAATTCTTGTCAGAATTTGGTGTTGACAGTATTTTTATTTTTGCCATTTTGATAGGTTAGTAGTGCTATTGCATTATTTTAATTTACATTTCCCTAATGAAACATCGTTTTGAATATCTTTCCATATATATTTAGATAAGAATTCTGTTTAGATCATGGACACATTGCTCTTTTTTTTTTTAATTACATAATTTATTTTCTTTTGTTCAGTTTTAAGTGTCCTTGTATATTCATGATACAAGTCCTTTACAAAATATATTACTTGTAAATATTTCTCCATGCTGTGAGTTTTCTTTTCATTCACTTAAAAATGTCTTTTGCAAAACAAAACGTTTTATTTTTGACATAGACCAATTTATCAATGTTTTCCCTTTCATGGATCATGTTTTTCGTGTTAAATCTAAAAACTCATTGTCAAAGCCAAAGTCACTGTCATGGATTTAATTGTGCACCCCAAAATATACATCTCAACTTGGCTAGGGAATATTTCCAATTATTGTGTTGCTACCCTCCAATTTGTGACCTGATATCATTATCCTCCATTTTGTGATGTGTTGTAAATTCTGAGCTCTTTGTGTTAAAGTCTAGAAGAGCCAAAGTCAGACCTTGGGTATATCTCACCTGAATTTAGAGACCATGTCAAGATTAGATACCTTGAACACTAAAGACTGAGGACCAGACAAGTTGTGGAATGAAATCAAGGACATCATATATGAAGAAAGCAAAGGGTCATTAAAAAGACAGGAAAGAAAGAAAAGACCAAAATGGATGTCAGAAGAGACTCTGAAACTTGCTCTAGAATGTAGAGTAGCTAAAGCAAATGGAAGAAATAATGAAGTAGAAGAGCTGAACAGAAGATTTCAAAGGGTACCTGAGGAGACAAAGTGAATTATTATAATGGAATTTGCAAAAACCAGGAGTTTAAAAGCCAAAAGGGAAGAACACAATCAGTGTTTCTCATGCTGAAAGAACTCAAGAAAAATTTAAGCCTTGAGTTGCAGTATTGAAGGATTCTATGGGCAAAATGTTGAAAGATGTAAGAAGCATCAAAAGAAGATGAAAG